GGAGGGGGAAGGAGGGAGCGCGCGGAGAGCCGGGGAGGAGGGAGCGAGCGAGCGGTGGAGGGAGGGGAGACCAACTTCTAGCGCTACCATAATTCGCCTAAAGCAGGTGCAGCCGCTTTCACCCGGCCAGGCCGCCGCGGAGAGCGAGAGAAGACCACGTGGACCGAACTTTAGGGGAAGGAAAGTGGGGACTTGGGGAGAAGACACGGGGCTGCGGACCTGAGAAAGGCGGGAGGTGGAGAGACCCCAGGGATTCTCCCTGCCCCCGCGAATCCTGTGGCGCGCTTTGCAAACCCCAGCTTTTCCCTGGAGTCTGGAGGTACGGCCGAGCCCTGCTCCCACACGGTTCATTGGTTCCCGGCGGGCTGCGCTCGGCGCGGGGAGTGGCCGGGGGCCCTGATCCCGGAGCCGGTGTGCGGCCCGAGTCCTTCCTTGCCTCCCTCCTGCTCCGCACTGCGTGGGGAACTGGGGGTGAGCTTTCTGAACCGGGGTGGGGGAGGTGGGGAGGCGCCTTCTGGGCATTGTGAACGTTCACCCCGGGCGCGCGCTGACTCCCTTACCGGAAGGGGAATTTCCCAGAAAGTGCTCTGCGAACCGGTGAAGAAGGGGCCCAAAGCCGGATACACGCGGGCAAAGCGAAGTGCAAAGTCGAGGCAATTATCCGGACAAATTGGATTGCAAACAAAACTGTGTCTTTGCCTGGGAGCTGGGAGGGATAATGGTGGTGGCAGTGGCGTGGGTTGGGGCGGGGGCGTCCGGATGGGGAAAGGCCCGAGTTCCAAGGCGGAGGGGTATGCTGGTGGCAGACGCCCAACTCAGACACCCGTGGAAACCTGAATAAAACCTCCACTCACAAAACGTCTCCTGTTTGTCTCTGTGTGTTGCGGGTGGGGAGAGCTGAAGGACACCCCAGATATCTTCCAGGAACGCCCATGACTAAGGGAGGGCCCTGCTGTGGGAGGAGAGCAGGAAGGCAGTGGCTCTTGAAGGCTTTCCTGGTCCAGATCACCTGAGGCAGGTGGAGACAGGGCAGACACACTGATGCCCCTGTGGAGTGTGAGCTGGGGGTGCTTAGGGTGAGTCAGTCCTGTCGCCTGGCGAGAAAGGAGGCTCCCTTTTGGGTTGCTTTTCATCAATTATCCCATCCCTTTTCTGCAGGTATAGTCAGAAGTGGTTATAAGGTTAGTGATACCCCGTCCATGTCCAGACCCTATATTTTTGCCCTACTGGGTAGGTGTGACAGGGACCCTTCAGTATGTAGGTGGGAAATTGTAGGGAGGAGGATTCTAAGTGTCATTTATGTGACTCTCCACAGTGTCCTTCCCAGTGCAGTAATAGCAGTCGCAATAAGGAATAACAATAGCTAATGTTCAAGTCCAAGGGTAGGCCAGGCAGAGGCCTTATTATTATTATCTTTAAAGATTTTATTTATTCATTTGACAGAGAGAGAGAGAGCATAAGCTTGGGGAGCAGCAGGCGAGGGAGAGGGAGAAGCAGGGTCCCCACTGGGCAGGGAGCCCGATGCAGCACTCGATCCAGGGCTCGATCCCAGGATCCTGGGGATCATGACCTGAGCCGAAGGCAGAGGCTTAACGACTGAGTTACCCAGATGCCCCAAGGCAGAGGCCTTATTTCATCTTCACAATAACCCGATGAGGTGGATAGTACCATTATCTCTATTTTACAGAAGAGAAAGCTGAGGCACGGAAAGATTAAGCCACTTGCCCGGGCTTACAGAGCTGGTAAGTGCTGAAGCAGGATTCTGACCAGAGCCACTTCAGTGAGGACGGGGAAGAATCACATGGAGGCTTCTAAAGCAGCACTGGCTTGTGGCTTACCTGAGGAGGAGTGCGGTCTGGTAGAAAGGAGGCCTTTGGTAATGTGATCCAGTTTAGCTTCCATGGAGAATCAGCTCTGGTGGGAGTCCGGGTGTGTGGACAGGTCTGGGCCTGGCCTGGAGTTGGCCAGTCCTTGTCTAAGCCCAGCTGGGCCGTGGCCATGCCCCTCAGGCCTTCTGCGCATCCTTTCTGCAGAGGCTCAGGGTGGACTTTCAGTACAAAAGAAGGGATTTTGGCAGAGGAGAGGTGGAACGGGCTTATCCACCTCTTTTCTGGCTGACTCTCAGCCCCACCAAGTCCTTTCCCCATCACCTTCCTGCAGCAGCCCTCCGCACCTCCCACGGGGGCTCCCTTGCCCAAAAGGGGTTCCCTGGGAAATGCTTTGGCTTTCATTTCAGGTTACTGGTCATCTCCAGGCCAGCTCAGTTTCCAGTGCCCCGTGAGTCACAGTGGGGAGCACAAGGGAGGCAAGAGACCCTGTCTTATCCTCGCCTAAAGAGCATTTTGGTGAGGAAAACAAGGCCTCATCAAAGAAAGGTACCAAACAATCACCCCAAAATCAACACAGCCAGTCCAAAGCTCTTCCTTCTGGTACAAGAGCTCTGTGAGAAGGCTTAAGAGGAGCCCTTGGCTCCCGAGGTGGAGTGACCCGGAATAGGCAGGAGGGTCCCCTTCTATCCTTATTCCTTCAAAGGGGCCAGGGGCATTGACTATGGCAAGAATGAGGGCCCATGGCTTAGCCCTGCTGGGGAGGCTGTAGTCAAAAGCACAGGAGCTGGCATGAGGTGACCTTGGGTTGAACTTCAGCCTCTGTCATTTACCAGCAGTGTGACCTGGGCAAGTTACATGATGTTTGAGCCTTAGTTTCCTTATCCACAACACTAGGAGAATGGGTCCTTAGGTGGCTGGCAGGAAAAAGCGTGGGCAAATCATCTAGCTTTCCAGAAATGCTCCAATTCTCTTTTGTAAGCCCTGGTTTCCTCACCTGAAAATGAGGACTACTGACCTCACAAAAAACACAAACCATACACACAACTGCAGTTGATACTTATTAAATGCTTGCTGTGCGCCGGCCACTCGACTCTCACGTGCTTTTGTGCTTTATCGCCCCAGACGTGGTGGCTCTTCTCGTTTTCTAAGTGGGGAACTTGAGGCTCAGAGAGGTCAGACAACTTGCCCCAGGTCACACAGCTGGGAGGTGGTGAGGCAAGGTGTGCTCCCAGGTCTTCCTGCTCCAAGCAGAAGCCCCTCCCCAGGGTCAGCTGCCTCTCTGTGGTAGGGGTGAAGTGGGCTAGGGGGTGAGCTTATTCCTCATTCCAGGCCTGGCACTCGGGGGTGGGGGTGGGGGTGTATCCAAAAACATTAGTCTCCTTAATCCCACAGTCCCAACACATCTAGGTTCAGATGGTTTATGTTTCCATTCATCTGACTGTTTCTTACTTTTTTTCCCCCTCAAAACCTTTTTTTTAGCCTTATTAAGGATTAAAACGTTCCAGCATAACACAGCAGCTCCACTCCTAAAACATATATATGTGTTCACGAAAAGACATACACTAGAATGTTCTCCGTAGCACCATGCACAATAGCCATCAGCCGTGCAATAAGTGAACAAATCATGGTATTCTCATATATGGGCTAGTACTTGGCAATGAGAACGAACCAACCATTGCCATGCACAGCAACATGGAGAAATCTCACACACAGAATGCTGAGCATAAACACATCACACAAGAGAAAGCACCCAGTAAGATTCCATTTCTCTGAAATTCAAAAACTGGTTCCAGCATTGGAACTCAGGAGAGAAGGGGCATGACTGGGAAAGTGTATGAGGGGGCTCCTGGGGGGTCTGGGAATGATCTGAGTTTTTGAATTCAGGAGTTGGTTGCAAGGGTGTGTTCCCTTTTTGAAAATTAATTGAGCTGCTGTATACTTCTAATTGGTGTGCCTTTCCT